TCTTCATTTTTCTTTACTACATCTTATTCTTGCTTTTAGTATGTGCTAGCGAGTGTCTTCTCGGCACTTACCTCTCTAATTGCGGTCTCCTCCACTCACCTGTCACACCTGGATAGGAGAAAAAAAGTATAGAAAAGGGTTGACAGCAACCATTGTGGTGGCAGATGGCTGGTCCAGTCTCTGCCACAGGGCTCCGCTACCCCTTATATCCTGTCTGTACCCATGTCCAGTTAACCATGTGGTTTTCCTCTTCAGTTGTAGGGGCTGTCGCTCAGCTTATTTTCCTCAGTGGGTTGATTTCCCTACTTAGTGCTTCCTCTCAGTGGCGGTCTTTCTCCCTCCACCTTCTTATGCTTGTTTCCCAAGCATCCCTGTACAGTCTCCCCTTTTTGGGCACTACTCTTAGCAGTCTTTACTCATATAATCATTTCTCATGCAAACTTCTTGTTAGGTGTAATTACCTTTCTTCCCCATGCTTCCTTCCCGAGTTCACTGTTCCCCAGCAGACTCACCATGGCAATCCACTTGTTGGGGTATGCGCTGGCTCTCCTCACACTGCTTGCACTCCCCCTGTCAGCTCCAGGTCTCCACAGCTCCACGTGGAATCAGCACAGCTTGCTCCAGCTGCTCCTGTGTCCCCTCTCTGGGGGCCTCAGCACCCACTGGCAGTTGTCTTTTCAGCAGATTCTTCCAGGACAAGGACCAAACAGCGATGGCTCCCGCAGCAGACTTTTGGTCTACCAGAATCCCCGTTAGTGTTTGATATCATCAGCTGCCGTCATGGTGAAATGATACTGCTGTAGATGAGGGTCCCTCTGCTGCTTTTCTACCCTTGAACAGGGGCCAGTAACAGTCCCCTGTTACAGTTTTATAACTAGAGTCTGCTTCAAGAGAGAATATGACACCAATCCTATAATGACCTATGGCTCACTAGAATGGTGCAGGAGAGGTGAGATGGGCTTTGTGCATGTGTGAAATCTCTTGTTAGACCAACTAACTATGTATCTTTTGTTGGACTAATTGGGAGAGAAGTTTGGCAAGCTTTCAGGTGCATGATTAGAATAAATTGCTGAGGCTTGAATCCTGATTGTTTGATCCTGGCTCTGTCACAATGTGCTACTGGTCAAGCCATTTTCTACTTTTATACCTCAGCTTGCTGCTTGTGAATTGGGTATAATAGCCCATGTGATTTTTTTTTTTTTGGGAGGAGGCAGGAGGCTTTGAATCTTAGGGTTACCTATTTGAAGAGACTCAGGAAAAGTTTGTGTTTTTTGGTGGGTTTTTTTTCTTGTGTCTAAAATGTACATGGTTAGTAAATTTCATTAAAGTGGATTAGTTAAACCACGCTAAACCCCACTATAGACACTGCCATCCAGAACTAAAGTGGCCTTAAATGAATTCACTTTGGAAGAAAATTTAAGCCATATTAAGGCCACTCTAATTCTGGATGGCAGTATCCGTACAGAGGTTTAATGTGGTTTAACTAATCTACTTCAAATTCAAGCCTCTGGTAAATTCTCATTAATCTTTTGAAATGACCCTGTGTAAAAGAGCCCTTAATTAATAGTTCTGTGAGGCTTTGAACTCTATAGGTGGAAGGTGATATCAAAGTGCAAACTCACATCTTTTGTTATAAGTGAAAAGTTTGGATTTTCCTCAGAATAGTGACAATAATAAATGGAGCTTCTACTTGTTCTATACTAAATTGTCTCTACCATTCCTGCAGTGGTGTTATGAACATGTTTCAACCTGATACCATACCATATTTCAAGACCATATTTCAAGACATGGCTACAGAAACATGAGAAGTTAAGGTGTGAGCCTGAAGAGTAACTGCTTGTGCAAGTTTTTGCTATGTAGTGAAGGTGTAGTAGCTTGCTCTACTTTGATTCGTAGGCATACTATTTTGTATTTACCTTGTGAAAAGAGCATGGATACAGGCAGTTTCTGCAGAGTAGTTAATACGTTGTAAATTCACACTCCTGCTTGCTTTGTTGTGACTCATTTGTGCTCAGACTGTAAGAATCAAGTACAGTGAGGATTAGCCTTTGACTAATCATCATATCAAGACATGATGATTAGTCAAAGGCTCTGGGGTAGTACCTTTTTAAGACTGTCAGTGTACTGGAAGAAGTCGTGGGAAAATTCTTTAACATGCAGCATCTTTCAACCTACTGAAATTCCAGGACCTGTAATTTTGTCTTCAGACTGTAACAAACAGGATACATGATATAATTCTGTGCTATAGTACCCTGGATATTTATCCAGAACATCTACCAAAGCAACATTCTTTTATTTGGATAACATTTCATCAGTTTATAAATGAATACTACATCTAAATATATAGTAAACTGAAAGAGCAAGTACAGCAGATGCATTAGACTTCTATATATTACAAAACAGCACAGTAAGCCAGTCTTGCATGTTTTCTTGTCATGACAAAAGCCAGGATTCCTGAGAGAGAAAAAACATTACTTCTGAAATTGCTATTCTTTAGTTACAGTTTTTGTATCAAAACTTTTTTTTTTACTCCTTCCCTAAAATTTTATTTAAAAAATAATGATGAAATGTTCTTCCTTGACCTTTTAGATGCTGTTTGAAATACAGGGTGTTCAGCTTTCTGATAATTAAAATGTATTAACAGCTTTAAAATTGTTAGTTGATACTGTCAATTTAAATAATTTATCACGGTATGCAATGCTGTGGTTTGACATATTAGATACTGATTAACATGATCATATGTCTATATAGCATTTTTCATGACACAAATGCACGAACTTTTGAGGCAACTTAAATAAAAAAAATCAGTTTTCTTACAAAGTATTGCACACTGTGTGTCAGCATGGAGATTAGGTAGAATTTTTGGAGAGAATTAAAATGTGGTTTTGCATGGCAAAATGACTGAAAATAGCACTGCTGTGGTTCTTAGTTGTGTGGAGAATCCTCACTCCTGGCTTTGGTAACCAAAGTAAGTCTTGTGTGCGAAGGCGAAGTTGATTCTCTAAGGCTAGGGACAGACATTCAAAAAGCCTGAGACTGAATTGATTCAAACTTTGCAGGTTAGTCTAATTTGGCTAGGCTGAATCAGCATGGACCATAGCCAGCATGTGGTAGAAGATTTGGCCCGATTTGGAAGCCGAATCACTGAATCTGAATTGAATTGGGAGACAAAAAAACCCATCCAAAATTGAGCCTCCAAATCAATTCAGAAAAGATTCAGGTATTCGGAAGGCAGTCTTTCAGGGGAACAGAAACTGAGAAGAGGGAGCAGCGGGGGAAAGACTGTCATCTGTAACTGACCAGCGACTGTGATCTTTCCCCGGGTCCCATTCCAATCACAGTACTCTGGGGGTGGGACGTAGAAACAGCTACCATCCCAACAATTTTCATCCTGCTGCGCCTTAACACACACACAAAGTCACATGTCACAAATTTTTCTTTGAACAGTTTGAGGTGCAGTTTCCCAGAAACCCCTGCACCTAGCTCCTTGAAGCTTGGCAGGCCTCATGCCCTCAGATGGGGCTATCATCCCTGCTGTTTTTATCCAAATGTGCCAAAAAGTGACAAAGTTAAAGGTATTTCAATGATTCTCCATTATAGTCTATGGCCAAATCACCGAATCTCTCCGAATCAGTGCCGAATCTTCCAAAGCCAATATGGCTGAATTAATTTGGGACAGTGATCTGAATTGGCCGAATCTGAATTGAATACTTTCCTATTCATACAGGCGTAATATCTATGTAAGGCAGAGGGGAGGGGGATCCCTGCTTAGGAGGGAGTGGTGAGGAGAGGGGGAGAGCAGGGAGAAACCAGGCAGATGCCTGCAGTCTCTGTTGGAGCTGCAGCAAGGGAGCAGAGGGGAGGGGCCAGATCTGCTGTGGAGCAGAGAGCCCTGCCCAGCCCAGAGAGCATGCCAGGATGCTTGGGGAGTCTGGTTTAACATAAACCAGCAAGGGTCTGGGACAGGCATTGCATAAACTGGTTTGACCCAAATCAGTTAAGTCTGATACTACATTCAACCAGGTTTATCTCAAACCAGTTTCAGCCAGTTTCAAATTGGTTTATGTGCATGGAACATCTGTTCTGTAACAGGTTTAAACCAGTTTCTGATCACTTAAACCAATGCCTTTCCCTAGCCTAAGGGTTTACGTTTGTGACCATAAAAGGCAAAAGCTTTTCTCAGGGGATAAGGGTCTAATTTGATTTGCAGAACCTTTATTATTCGTGGTAGTGGTATATGAAGTTGAATCAGGTCTGGCAGTTAGAGAGACGTAGCATGTTTGAAATACTACATATGGAACTGCAGGAAGAAACTTTGAAAGTTACTCTTTCGAGTAGAATCATACTTTAAACGCTAAGAGAGGGACCCCTTTGCCCCAGACCCCCTTACCAATTGGCCATGAGAGAAATCCTCTGGGACTAGCACTGTAAAAACTGCCAGAGGTGATCCTTCAAATGCCCCTTGCATGACACTGGTGGACATGCCATGGGGATACTGAGGTACAGCACACTGTGGTAGCTTCTGGGCAGCTTTGGTTTTCAGAGATGCCCATAGGCAATACAAACTGGCTCCTAGACTGATTCAGTGAAGTTGGGGTCATTTTGGTTTACAGTTGTAGGAATCCTAAGGGGACAAAAGTGCCCATAAGCCACTCTCCCTTCCTTTCTCTCAGGCCATACCTGTCTGCACTGTTTCCTGGAAGTGCAGCATAAAATCCCAATTTATGGGTTATAGGTTCCTTGTATGCAGTGGAGTCCAGTGCGGTGCAAACTGAAGCAACATCATGGGAAAAGCTACAGTGGGTCACACCAGAAGGAACTGTGCTAAAAGGCACAATTAGCCTGTTTGCATTGCTGTGCTAATGCAGCTTTGCTGTTTCTAGGTGGGAAAATAGAACTAGTGAAGGAGAGCAGTGTGGTTGAGCATGGTATGTTTGGGGTTCAGACGTTCCCTAAGTCCTTGAAATGGCATTAATATCCTTCTGTGCTCTGTCATTAAGTACATGTGTGGACTAGAGTGGCACCAGAACTACTAGCAGCAATGACTGAAGAAGGCATGCAAAGGAAGCATGGATGAAGATCTGTAGCAGATACCCACATAACTTGTAACTCACTTTGCACCTCTCACTTCTCCTGCCTGCTCTCCTGATGGACTGAAGGTTAGAATGCATTAGCCTTACAGCCGTCTGAAAGTTGCTAATAGTTTTTTGTGCATCTGGCTCTATATAAACAGTGAAATGGCTTAAAATGTAACCAGGGAGAAAAGCATATATAAATCTGACACGGAACAAAGGATTTGAGTTAAGAAAGGGCAAGTTCAGCTTGGCAATTAGGAAATACTTTTGATGGTATGGACAGCCAGACAGTGGGAGAGTTTCTCTAATGAGGTACCATGGCAAATTCTATAGTAGTAAAGATTTAGAAAATACAATGTGGAGTCCCTGATGCTTGACGCAGGGGTTGCATTTGATAACCCAAGATATCTTTCTTAAGAGAACATTTTTTATGAGGCACTAGTAACTTTGGAGTTCATATCTTCATTTAAATGAATTTTATATACAATGGCATGGTTAAATCTCATCAGAAAAACAACCTTCATAAGGTTTCCATACTTTTTTGTGAAATATCTGTTTAAAAAGGTATTGCTGCTTTTTTAGTTTCAAAATGGAGTGACCAAGTGTAATCACAAATCTGTCAATACTAAATCACTGTTGCTATTTGAATTACATTTTGTGTAAAATATTTTTCTAACCTTTTTCATGTTTGGATTGTCTATGCTTAATGAATTGTACAACACTGCTAGGGTATGAAATGAGCCAATGAATAATGAAAGCATATTATAAAGCATCATACTGTACTCTTTCCACAGCACTAATAACTTTTAGAACTGGTTGATGTAAGCATGCACATAGGATGGGAGTTGGTACACGTCAGCTAATGTTGCTTTTAACCTTTGACGCACTCTGTTTTCTCAGCAAAGAAATAGGTTTTCTAGTTAAATTTGTAACTTATTTTTAAGAGATTGATTTTTGGAAAAGGGAGAAGTCTAGGATAAATATTTAACAGTGTTTTTCTGATTTAGAGGCATTGCCTGACCATATCTTTTGAGCCACTACAACTCTTCAACATTAATGTGAAGAGGAAGATTATGGAGGTTAACTTCAAGGAAGCTAGGCCTTTACACTGCTCGCAGAAACTTCTTGCTGCTGACATCGAGGCCAATGACAAAAGACCCATTCTCTTCAAGAGAAGAAGAGCAGAACCAGCTTTTGCAATACTGGTATTTTTTTTAGTTCCTCTTGCCTTCGAAGACAGTGTCTGTAGTCATTTTAGGAGATCTTCTATAAAGGAAATTATATATACATTTTAAGACAAAGAACTTAATTGTTAGACTTCCATTTTTAGAGACTTATCTTTGATCCTCATGAACTTTGTGTGGCAAAGTACAGTTACTAGCATCTTCAAACTTCCAAGTGAAACCACATATGCTAATTAGAGCTAGGTACCAGCAAAGCCAAAACTGAAATACTTTGCTTGTCCATCAAAACACCTCAAGACAAGGGGGTGATCTTGGAAAGGTACTTGGGTACCAACTTCCTAAATAAAAACAAGACTGGAGATACTGCAAGTAGTGTCACCTGCATTCAATACTACTAATACAGCATGAAAAAGAGGAATGCTGACATGCAAGACAAGAAAAGTATTAAGAAAAATGTGTGTGGTGCTTTGAGCATAGGGAGGAGGGCAGTTTTCCAATGCAGTGCTATCTACATTAGATAACATTGTAGTGCCTGATCTAATATTTTCAGAAATCTTGTTCTTGTGCTGGAAGTCACTGGGAATTGAAATAAAGCACACTGTGGAGCATGGTGGTTTAATGAGCATATTTGGTCAGCACTGCTGGCCTTAACTATAAATGCTTGTTAAAACTGTCACTAATGCATTTATGTCTAATTGTGTTACTAATATTCTTGCTGTTAATAGTCTCTCTCAGCATCTATCTTCGGTAAAGAAATCAAAGAGAAGTATGCATTGGGTACATTAGTAGTAATAGGGTAACTACATAAAAGGTGTTTGAATAAATTTTATGTGAGGTAACTAGATTTTTTTCGTTGTTACTATTGCATTTTTCCAGGGGTCAGTCCTTTCACTTCATAACAAGAGAATAACAGAACAAAAATAAAGCTTCCATGAGAGAATGTGTACACATGTGTACATGCTCCTTCTGTACAAAGTGGAGCAGCTCTCAGAACAAAAGGGCTACTAATATTTGCAAATGGAAAGAACCTTTAGCAACAGTACCATAGCAAGGGGGGGTGGTACAGCAAGGGGGGCAAATGTTCCAGGTGCCGAAGCAAAGGGACAACAACAGGTACTACCTAGCCGGGGCAGGGTGCGGGACAGAGCTGCAAGTGGCTCGTTTGGGCGGGGTGTGCAGGGACAGGGGAAGGGTGACTCCTGCTGCTGTGTGCACTCCTGAGCAAGCATGGGGGGCGGGGGTGGCATGTGCCCCCTGGATCTGTGTGCAGGGAGAGGGCGGGTTGCTGCTGAGGGCTTTGCCCCAGGCGTCAAACTTCATTGCTGCGGCACTATGTAGAAATGAAAGGTGCAGTATGCAGAGGGCAAAACATCAGTTTCAACCACTCGTGCTTGTGCTTGATTGTCTACTGGGATTGATCATAATCATCCTCCTGTTTTATAATCAAAACCAGTGGTTTTTAACCTTTTTGGACTCCATAACTTTTGTGAATTGAGCGGCATCCAATTTCATAGGTATCACAGTGCTTATGTCCATGCAGAGAGGTCAGGCAGTGGGGTCAGGGGTTTGTCCAGTCAGGGAGAAGCCTGAGCCTGCACTTACCTGCTTATCTCCCTGCACCTCACAGCACCCTTCAAAGGATCTGGTGATCCCCAGCTTGCCCCAGCACCCTGGTTGAGAATCACTGATCTAAATACTGATACTTTATTCTACTTATATTTCAACTTTTAAATCATGATAGAGAAATCTAATGGGTGGCAGATCTGGGGGATTGAATTATATTTGTACAGGCTGTTTAAGCTTCTGTGGTATGTCTGCAAGTTCTCTTGGTATTTTAGCTAGCGCGGTCACAAGGGTCAGAGGTTTGAATTAGAATCAAAAGACTTGAATACAGATTCTTCTTGAGAGTTGGCCTGCCTCCAACCTGTAGCCCATTAACAGTCTCTTCATTCCCACACTGTACCTCCAACAGCTTTGGTTTCATCTTTATGCCCCAGGAGAGAGGGATATACAACGTTATTTCCCCTGGAAAAGGCACAGCACTTCATGGAAAGAAAGATAATCCTTATCTTTCTGCATTCTGGCAACTGAAGGCAATAAACCATGAAAAAAGATTCTTGTCTCGGGGAAGGGATATGACGTATGAGATCCAGCACCTTTTTCTTGATGTCCTTTTTCTGTGTTTCTTTACAACTATAGCTGCAATTTGTGGCATTACAGAATAGGTGATGAATCTAAGAAGCTTCAAGACTGGATCTTTTGGGGAAAGAGATCGTATCCATGCTCTTGGCATTCTCAGACACAGACAATACATAGATGTTATAATGGAAGGAGAAGTCCTGAGGTCATATTTGAAACCAGAGTCTTGTCACTCAAGGCCTATACTAGCATTACATTTAAGAGGAGCAGTAATGAAGCCCATTGGAGTGGCAACTAGGCCCCGCAATTACTATGCCTCCTTAAAAGCAACTTGGGGAAGGACGCACGCATGTGGGTGTGCATTAATACAAGTAAGCAAGCAAAACGGGCAAGATGCAATAGATCTTATTAGAATGGTCAAAGGAGGCTTCCTGATGACATATCTGACAAAAACTTCCTATGGAACAATAGGGGTCTTAATCTCTTATATGATAGTCAACAGACTCATAAGTAGCTAGTCAGCTATACCAATTGGATACACCACTTGGAGTAACTGGCAGCTAGCAAAATCACCCTTCCTTAATCTTACCAGTGCATTCAGTGAAGGAAAGACAGCAATCCTTTCTTTTTTTTTTTTTTTAATCCTTCAAAAGGTATCTGCCAGTATATTGGCATAGATGCATGCTGATCTGTGGAGTTAATCTGGTTTTAAATAGTGTAACTGAGAGCAGACTTGGTACTGATTGTTCGTGAGTCAACATGGGTAACAGGATTGCTAAGCCACATTATTCTGTTGAAGATGCCAATGCAACAGGCACCTTCAAAATATAAATGTCATTGTGAGCTGAAAAAGGTTTCACACATCAGTTGGTAATTTTAATCCTTTTTTAGACTCTTCTGACCAAAAATGCAAGTGATCTTTAAGATGCCTTTACATACGTTCTAGGTGGGAAAGGGGAGGAGTGTTTTAATTAAAGCGGCTCTTGGAAGCCGCTTTAATTAAGTGCCCACAGCGTTTCATGTATTTAGCACCCCACACTTCAAAATGGCAGCAGGGGTGCTTTAACTGAAGCTCATTTGACAAGCTTTAGTTAAAATGCCCCTGCCACCATTTTAAAATGTGGGGACGCTGAATACACATGATGCCAAGGCTGCTGGGGCATTCTAATTGGAACATATTTAATTGAAATTAATTAAATTAATAGAGTCTGCTCCAACATGCTGTAATTGGGATGTGTTGGGGCAGTTGTCACGCATGTGTATGTGTGCCCTAAGATTTTACAGAAATAGGTTTTCTTCCTGTATGACCCTTTTTATTTTTTAAACTGTTTTCCACTAACGTCATTTTTAGGCAGAGGCACCTACTTGATGCAGATCTGTATCTTACAATATAATTGTACCACAAGTGCTTGATAAAACTACGTGTGCTTTCAACTGATTATCTCAATTTGCCTGCAGTTAGGATCTAGACTAATGAAGCAAAATCTTTGTATTGTTCTGGTTCTTTGGTATAGTTTATAAAATGACATATCAAGAATCACTTATGGCGGGTCTGTTATCCATGTTAGTTTTCTGATTCAGATTTAGGTGTGCCTGTTATGCCAAATTTTTAAGTAAGAATTACAGGAAACCCTTGCTATTCATGAACTCCAGATTTGCGGATCCAAACATTCGCAGGGGAGGGCAGAGCCGGGAGGTGGGCAGAGAGCGAGTGTTGGGGACGTGGAGGGAGGTGGCAGTGGTGGCATCTTCTCCCCTGGTAGCAGCCGTGGCAGCGCGTGGGGGTGTTTGGGGAGGAAGGGGTCAGTCCCCAGGTGCTGCAGGGGAGCCCTGTGGATGGGAAGGATGGTGGTAGTGGTGGCAGCATCTTCTTTGCTGCTGCTGCCAGAGGCAGCCACAGTGGTGCTTGGAGCTGCCACGGTGAACTCGGGGGGTGGGGGGGGGTGGGAAGGGGTCGGTTCCCATGCACTGCAGGGGAGCCCCACAAACAATGGGAGGGGAGCAGGGGGCAGCTGTGGGGTCTGATGGGGAGCTCCATTGGTATTCACGGATTTCACCATTTGCGGGGATCCCTGGAATGTATCCCTCACAAATGGCAGGGGCCTCCTGTATACTGCTATGGTGGTATCTCTCTATAAATCTTTCTTTCTCCTCTTCTCTAGAAAGAGAGGAAGAGCTGAAATTAAATGATATGTAAATAATGAACTGTATGGCTGTTGTGTGCTATGACATTGTGCTCCTGCTCTTTTGATAGAGGACAGCACTTCCAATTGCTGGCTTAACTAGCAATAGCACTAGTAGCATGGCTGCCCAGTTAAAATTTATTTCCAATATGAAACTTTACCTGCTATGGACAACATACCCAGTTCAGCTATGCCCATTACTGTAGGGGGGAATAGGAAGGGAACATACGTATGGCAGCATAGCCGAAGGACGCCAGGAAACACAGTCAAGGGCACAGCGAAAAGTAATGGATTGTCATGGAAGGTGAGAAGGTGGCTGGCTATGCATATTCAAAGTGGGATAAAGACTGGAGAGAAGAAAGGTGTGTGTGGCTTTTTTAAGGAAAAATGTTTACACTTACAGCACTTGTTTACCCAGGGAAGGTCCAGGGAATTGTAAATTCGTATAACATTTTACAACTCAATTGGGAATGAGAGCTGTGAAGTGGACCTCAAGCAAATATATGTAAGATGTGAGTCACTCTATAGAAATTTTGTGACTCTCTGACTTTGTATTTTCCAAGTATAAGAGGGGCATGTTTAAATTGCCAGCAGGTGGTAGTCTGTGCCAAATGAGCACATTGTAGCTATCCAACTACCACATCTGTCATAAAGCAGTGTCCTAAAAAAAAATATATAGTTGGTGTAACAGTTAGCCTA